GAGACTCCCTCCCGCCTTTGCCAACTCCTTTGGAACTATCGAGGATCTAACATCGGTAGTGTTAACATATCATAGATTCTACTAAATGAGTTATAATTCCATATATTAAATTGAACATGTAATTTAACTAATGTTACCATTTAAATTGATGTTAAATACCAGTTGTACTAAATAACATTAATCTAATTTTTAACCATATTATATACGAAACTATTAAAATATACGTACTGAACATATATTATGCCCATGTCCGAGCCTCATTTTGAGAGAAAAAAATGCATTTTTGAATTTTGGTTTTTGGAGAATATGTGGTGGAAAATTAAGAAAAAAATATCAATTTACGTGTAACATTATTTTTATTGAAAAATATGTGGTTGAAAATGAATTTTGAAAAAAATGAATATTTAAAAAAAAATGAGGCTCAAACCTCCAAAAAGGCTATGGAGAGGGAAAAAATATTTGTTGAAGAAATTTATGAGTTTTATTGTAATCCATTAATTAATTCTGGTAAAATGTATACATAATATGTACATACACACAAATTTATCTCAAAATTATCATCGAGTCACTGTAAAAGTCGGCCATCAATTACAGTCATTAAACAGTTAATCAGTCATTCATGTTATGACAACTTACACAAGATATAATTTCCATTAACTTTATCTCCCATTGAATATTATGGACCTAATTTTAATAAATTAAAGATAAAAGCATACCCTCAGAATTTTGAATTTTTCTGTAAGGCAAATGCATCCAACTGAAAAAATGGGAATGCTAAACAAGAAATTTTCCATGATAATTACAAGATAAAAAGTTCTCCAACTTTCAATGATGGGGATGTGCTGTGTATATATATTACATACATCACATGTAATTGCACTTTGAATATATAATTCAAAATTAATCCCTGAAAAATAGAAAAGATTTAAGCCATATTTGATTGCAACGAATTTTATGAAAAATATCAAATTCAAAGAAAACAAATTTCACTTTAACCATTTGATTGCAACGTAAAAATGAAAACCGAATTCTAAGGCACAACAATTTTAAGCTGTATTTTCTTTATTTTCATGGAAAACGAATTCCTATGGATTTTTATTTTTCAATTAACATAGAATTGAAATTCATTTCCACATTTACCTATCAAATAAACACTTACAGTTTTTATTCATTTGCTTGAGTTAATGTGATAAAATGTTCTAGAATCAGTCATCTTCAACAAAAATAAAAAATAAAAAATTGAAGTGCCAACTGTAGAAGGGTACCTTCCATCTTTCTCAATATCCTCCTTTTATTGTTGCGTTAATGGTTACGCATTTTCTCGCTGCCTACCACTTTTGGTGCAATGCAATCGAAAATTATGAGTATATCTTAAGTACATTAGTACTCTTACTATTCCTTTCTATTGGTCAGCTTCTGGATTACTTGTGGTTCTACTCAATTTACTAACTATGTATGCTATGTCTGGTCTTATACAACTCATTTACAACTCATCAAGTGCATCAAACTTCCAATGATTCTAAAGTATTCTACTTGAGAAACACTTTCTCCTTTATTTTTGATATATGCTGACTCGTAGCTATTGGTATTCTAGCCATTCCAGTATCATCCTTGCTGAACTTTTCTAAAATCTTATCCACACAATCTGCTAATTTTAATTCCAAGTATGATATCAGCTAAACCCATATCTTTCATGTCAAATCTTGAATTTAACACATTTTCAGTGGATTTAATCATCTTATCGTTGCTATCAACAATAAGTATGCCGTCAACGTAAAAACATAAAATGACATAACCTTTTTCGGTGTTTTTGACGTAGACACATTTGTTACACTTTTTAATCTTAAATCCACATTTCATCATAACATTGTCAAATTTTTCATACTATTGCTTTGGAGATTGTTTCAAGCCATATAATGACTTCACCAATTTACAGACTTTCTTCCTCGGGTTGTTCCATGTAGATTTCTTCCTCTAAATCTTCATTCAAAAAAGTAGTTTTAACATCCATTTGATGTACTTTAAGATTTCTCAGAGCTGCAATCACAAGTATCACCCTAATAGATGTTATTCTCATCACTTGAGAATATATGTCAAAGTAATCAAGGCATTCTCATTGTCTGTAACCTTTTATTACCAGTCTGACCTTATACTTTTCGATTGATCCATATGTTTTCATTTTCTTTTGAAAATCCACTTGTAACCTAGTAGTTTACTTCCTAGAGGAAGATCCACTAGCTCACATGTATGATTTTATAAAATAGAATCTATTTCACTTTTAATGACTATGACCTCTTTCCATTGAGATCCTTCTAAAGAGTTCACAGCTTCTTGAAGGCTTCGAGATTTACTTTCTAGCATATAGGTCAAAAAATCAGGACCGTAAGATTTTTCTGTCATTTCCCTTTTGCTATATCTTGATTCAACCTCATCCTCTTCTTCTAATTCTTGGTCAGACTATTTTCAACCATAGTTTCATGTGTCCGTTTAGAAGATCTTGCTTCCTCTTTGGATCTGTATGGAAATATATGTTCAAAGAATGAAGCATTTCTTGATTCTATTATCGTGATTTGTGTATTTCTAGGATTTTAGAAATCTATCCAATGTATCATAATTAACACGTCCTAGTCTTCCATGTCACAAATTGGAAGACCCAATCAAGTAAGCACAATAATTAACTTAATTAATTTTCGACTTCAAAACCATTACATTCAGCTTAAACATATTATCGGAAACATAACATTTTTCGATGAACATTCCACTTTTTGATAAAATAACTTTGTCTGACTCAAATACAATACAGAAACCATGCTTATTCAAAAGCAACCAGGACACTAGATTCTTGCGAATTTCTGGCACATACAACACATTGTTAAGAGTCAGCTATTTCCCCGAAATCAACTTCAAAATCACTTTTCCTTGACCCTTGACTTTAGAAGTTGCTTAATTTTCCATGAACAACTTCTCCCTATTCTCAATTGTTTCGAATGCAGCAAACAACTCTTTATCAGAGCACATATGCCTCGTAACACCGTGTCAATCCACTACTCTTTTAGATTAGAACCCACCATGTTCGCTTCAGAAACAACGGCTGCGAGATTCATATCTGACATATCATGTGCCATGTAGTCAACCATATTTGTTTTTTTTTATTAATTTTCTTTGGCAATCTGCACTCTGAAGATTTGTGACCTACTTTGTCATAATTGAAGTATTTTCCTTGATATTGCTTCTTAGAAATGCCCCCTTTCCGTCCCAGCTTACCACCTTTGCCACCAGATGTCCTAGACTTATTCTTGAATGTCTTAGAACTTTGATAGTGCTCAACAGCATTGGCTTTAGCCACAATAGGATTGAATCCCTGTTGTCCTTTTCAATTCAAAGTCTAACAATCAGTTCTTCAATGTTCATTTCTTTTCGCTTGTGTTTAAGATAATTCTTGAAATCTTTCCATGTAGGGGACGATTTTTCAATAATTGCAAAAGTTTCACTCAAAATCATCCATTCAACATAAATCTCATGAAGAATCACTTTAAGTTCTTGCACTTGACTGATTATTGTTTTGGAGTCCACCATCTTGTAGTTCAAGAATCGGCCAACAATGAATTTCTTAGCCTCGACATCCTCAATCATATATTTTTGATACAATGACTCTCACAACTCCTTAGTAATTTTTATAATACTGTACAAATTGTATAGCGAGTCTGCTAAACTATTCAAAATGTAGTTTCAATATAAAAAATCTGAATGTTTCCACGCATCAAGTGCATTAACAGCTTGAACATCTTCCTCACCCCCTTTGAGTTTATTGGCAGTTTCAGTTAAGAACCTCGCAAAGTTCAATGTGGTCAGGTAAAACAACATTTTATGTTGCTACCTTTTGAAATTCAAACTATTGAATTTCTCCGATTTTTCTCCATGATTAACCGGATTAGTAACGACAAGGCCAGTTGGTTGAGCTAGACTTGGCAATTTAGCCATAGCAGAACTTGGCTCCTGAGTCACAACAAAACTTGGTACTTAAGCTACAACAGAATCCACAGTCGAGTTTTCAGTGACCACGTCCATACTGATTGGTTCGGTTGCCATTTCTGAAAAATCAAATAAATATTAATTCTCAATAAAATCAAAAAGAACCTGCCTGTTATGAATCTGTTTTAAGATTGTTAGACTATTTTAAGCTTTATATCTCTAATTAACTATTATCCCCATATAGCATTATATATCCATGTACCACAAAGAGAGCCATTTCATTGTTGCCATCTGGTTAAGACTCTTTAATGAGTGCTGGTGGTGGAAACCATTGGCATTTGGTATTGCAGTTAAATCCTAGAAAGAATTTCAATCGAGCTACCCAATTGAGGGGGTGATTTTGAGGGCTAAAAAAGAAGTTTTGATTCTTGGGGTTTCTCGAATGTGGAGATTTTGATATGGACTATTTGGGTATCTAGTTCAAAGATCTGTTCTTGAGGCATTTGATGAAAATTATATGGTAGATTGGATTTTCAAGATCTAGAATTTGAAGGCTACTGTTTTGAATTCTTTTTTGAAAAAGGTAACAAGTTTAAGCACACTTGCATTTATTTGTTTTTTTCAAAAACTTGTTTACAGAATGCATTTCAATTAAGGTCTCCTTTTAATTTTTTGTGCTAACATGATGTGCAAGAAGAAATATTAATGTATCTAATTTTGAATTGCATAATTTAGCTAATCGTTGATGAGCTCGAAATGTTCTTGTCTCGGTCATATTGTTGCTATCCATGCTATTGACCTCCTACATGATTTTTTACTTGTTTTTCTGCAATTATTTTAACTTTTCAGAATGTTCAAGTTCATCAATTTTGCTGTCTTGGTCTATACTTTTATCAATATATGAGTTTTTCCTAAGAGTTTGTTTATAGCTTAATGAATCTAGGATTGTGAAATAAGTTTAGAATATAGTATCAATTCCAATGATCAAATGTGTTACTAATACTGCAGAGTTTTCGGGATCCTGAGAGATGGGTTCTGATCTGAATGAGGAACTCTCGAATAATACTCTCCTTTTTGATCTAAAGGTCTGGGAAGTTGTTGGTATCATTATTGGGTTGGTGATTGTGGCTATCCTTTTTGCATTAACCCACTATCTTATTTCACAAAAGAAATCTAGAAGATCTCTAGACAAGCTTCCCCTTAGCCAAATACCAAATGTTTCAAAAGAAATTAAAAAGGTACGGGTAGAACAAGTATCAGCTAATGAATTTGTTCAATGTGATGGGATTCTTCTGGCTATTCATGATAAATCTAGTGATAACGAATCAGACAAGTTTTTGGTCTATATGGAAATGCCGAAAGTAAAGAATGAAGACAACAGCAGTCGATCTGGTTCATGCCGTCGCGTGGATAGAGACTGTTATGGTATGCAATTTAGAGAAGAAAGAAGGTCTGGGAACATCCGCACTTTATAAACCTTCTTCTTCTCATTCAATAATTGTTTCTTCACCCTTAACTGGTCTGTCAGAGTTTTCTCACTTGGGTTGGGGCCATTGGTTTACGCTAAGAGATCTTGAGCTTGTAACCAATATATTTTCAAAGGAATATGTTATTGGAGAGGGCGGGTACGAAGTTGTTTACCATGGGCAGTTAATTAATGGGACTCTAGTTGCTATCAAAAAGCTCCTCAACAACTTGTAAGTTTTGGAATTTATTTTTGATATTTGATGGAAATCTTTATGGGATGGTTTTCTTGTCAATTCTGTGAAGTTAATACGTATCACATTTTTCTTTTCAATCAGAGGTCAAGCAGAAAAAGAATTTAGAGTTGAGGTTGAAGCCATTGATCACGTGGGTCACAAAAATTTGGTTCGACTTCTGGGTTATTGTATTGAGGGAACTTGTAGGTACTGTCTATCAAAATTAGGTTACCATTTTTGTACTTGTAATTTGCCTTTCAAATTGAATACATTTATTGAATGTCATCACATTTATGGCTCTCTGATCACTTGTTCCTATCGTAGCACAAGACTTGATTATGTTACATGCATGTGGTCTAAAATGAAAATTTTATTTTAGGTTCTTAATATATAAATTTAGCATGTTTATCGATATTGAAATGGGTTACCTTTCTGCATAACATTCAAAACAATCCTTATTGAACTTTTTTTAAATATATTTCAGGATGCTGGTCTATGAGTAGGTCAACAATGGCAATTTAGAACAATCGCTTCATGAAGCTATGCGCCATCACAGATTTCTTCCTTGGGAGGCCAGAATGAAGGTCTTCATTAGCATGACTGAGGCGTACGTTGGCTCAACTATTTCATTTTTCTAAATTTCTTTTGTGATTTGATCCCAAAATTATAGATCAAAGTATATAATCTTCTTGCAGTCTTGCCTACTTGCACGAGGCAATCGAACCAAAAGTGGTACATCGGGACATAAAGTTTAGCAATATACTGATTGATGAAGACTTCAATGCGAAGGTCTCCGATTTTGGTCGGCTAACCATTTTAAGTGAGACAATAATATATAACAATATTTTTATTAATATTCCTGTTCACCACATCCCCCAACAAAAGAAATTGAAAATTCGACAAGGACGCCCCCAATAGAAGTAGTAACAAAGGTGTTTGATTATGGTGGGTCTATACAAATAAATATGAATTCCCTAAAAACCAAAATAAAGGTTAGATCCGAACTTCATCAGGTCACCTAATTGCATTGCCCAAACAAGTAAAAACAACGAAACTTAAAACTTTTATGGAATAGTAAATAGAAAAGCAAAAAAAAAAAACCACAGAACTAAGCTTTTCTGCAATCTACTAATTTCTTTTGAGTTCCGCTAGATGAACAGGGTCACGTAGGCCCTGTTAGAATAATTCAATTTATTTTTCCATGATTTTCGCTTGGCAGGCATTCAAAGAAAAGGATTGTACCATCTTAGTAGCAGATGTTGACTCCTGAAGCTGGACATCTCTCTCCTCTAAGCTTTTCTGCATCTCCTAATTTCTTTTTCCATGATTTTCGCTTTGGTTTCTGCATCCTGTTATAAACAATAAACGAAAAGAAATCAACATTCTCAAAGATACAACACTTTCGAAAACAATGAGTCATGCTCATTACTCACCTTTAAAAAGAAAAAACAAAAGGTAGAAATCATTTGATCTCATCTCACTTCCCAAATCACATTATTTATTATCCATTATTTGAAAAAATATTGATTTTGGAATAGTGTTTTTGGAGGAATGTTTGGTTATAGAGTAAGGTGAATTTCCAGGTTTTGAGAGAATGTGTGTTTGAAAAAAGGGAGGAAAAATATATTAAAATTTAATGGGGGCCAAACACGAACATAATTTATCACTCTACAAGTAATCAGAAATTTCATAAAAATCTCAAACACAGAGGCAAATATGATTTTTTGTTGTACCTGTCTAATAAGGGTTTCGCGAGAAAAAGACTGCTGTTGTAGAGCAAGGCGTTTGCAAACCTCCTTGAGCTCTGACGCTAATGAAACCACGTTCCGCCTAAAACTCTGCTTCTCATTTAGATCCTACAGCAACAGATATACGTCCCTACATACCACGATAACTGTCGACGATGCCATTGGCTTCTCCGCCATAGACATCATCAGTTTTTATACAAATTCCAAAACATCATAAATTCAAATTTCTTTGACTGAATCAGGACTAGGAATTTAATTTGGGTACTCAATCTCCCTTTGCAATGGATCAAATCTATCCACATACGTATCACACACTACATGTGACCCATTGCGTACATCATTTAATACACTTTGACGAACATTTCAATTGAAAATAATTAATTACGTTATTTTATATATTTCACTAATAGCTTAGTTGACACCTTTTGCCTCGAGTCCAAAATTTCAATTTGAATTTTGAACTTTAAAATGCAAATAACGACGAAAAATATGTTGGAAAAAATTGGTTTTAATTAGTTGGTTTGACAAATTTTTTACCAATTATTTTAGTGGGTTTCGTTAGTTGGACAAAATATTTCTTTGTCGAGTGTGTTCTACTCCATGAGTAAATTAATGTAATGTATTTTTTTTTTCTCAAAATCAATTTAGGGTGAATGAAAAATTAAGACCAAAAGATGACCACTTGAAGTTGAAATAAATTGGGAATAAAAATTGGTGGGAAATTGTAAAATGCCAATCTCACATAGGAAAATTAGAATAATAGAAACAATTTTATATTACTCAAGATTGGGACTTGAGTTTAGGCCACAAGGGGTACCAATAATCTTTGAAGGGGAGATAACCTATATGCCAGTAGGTTGAGTCGAAGCCTAAAAGCGCGAGACGCCGCAGGCCGGCCCAGCACAACACTAGCGTGGGTCACAGGTCTTGGGCTTGACTTAAGTTTGGGTCAAGTTGATATATATTTTTTGGTAAAATAATAATTGAATTATATTATTTTATTATTTTTTAAAATAATAATGTTTTTATTTATATTATTTATTTTTCCCCGAATTTTCTATGCGTGACACATGGTTTCTTATAGAAAATGGCAGTTGATAGTTAAACTATCTGTCCAAACGGGTTGTGTCCGTTGAAGACACAACTTTTCGACTATTGTGTTTTTTAGACATAATTTTTCAACTTTTATATGAAGGTTTTCATACCCCGAATTTTATTCATTCCAAAATCAATTCTGATTTTATTCTTTTTCCAAATTATATTCCTTCATCACTGCATTATTCCATATTTTGCAATTCGGACTCGAAAATTATTTTCGTGCTTTTTAGTCCTCCAAGTTTAGAGAGATCACAAACGTTAGTAGGTTCGTCGGGTCTTATAATTTGGAGTGCTACTATTACTAGTCGAGGTCGTTGTATCTTAGAAGACGAGTTCCGGAATACCGTTAGCACCAGTGCGGAGTATTATCATCTTAAGAAAAAAAGTCGAACTCTTGTCTCAACCATTAACATTTTATATAATTTTGCCCAAATTATTGCACGTTAATATCATTATTTGCCAACAAAATATTACTCGTATTTATATGGAATATTATATTATACCACTACTGAACCTCAACACAGTTGACATCTATGAAACTTCATAGTTCAAACTGATTCCAGCCACTAAAAAATACTCCATATGCACACATCTATGCAGGCGGATGCATATATACATAATAGTACAGAGAGAGAGTGAGAGAGAGAGACACTTGCTGAATCCAATTCCAGGGATTCTCAATGGAAAAACACGAAATACATCAAACTTTAGCAACAATTCGATCCAAATTAGGTTCAAATCGAGAAAAAAATTGTGATTATTTGGGAGTTGGGTGGGAGAGTGATGAAGTGACAACGCAAACAGGAATAAATTCAAATCCAACTCTTCTAGATTTATATTTGTCAAATCATCTGATGGCAGAAAATGGTGATAGAACGAGTACATGGCTGAGATTCAGAGGTTTAAGTGGGAGTCATAGTGCAAGAATAAAGCTATTCTTCCAGTGGGATGGCGAAATCGGACGTTCGGATTTGAGTTTGAATAATAGTTATTAGACTTGACCTCGATATTGACTCGGTCAAGATACTGGGTCATTGGGTTACTGGTCGGACCGGTGGTGATTACTTAAAAATTCTATAAAAAATTTTAAAGTATAATTTACTTATTTTTTTCTTGAGACAATTAAAATTTTCAAGTTATTTGTTACAAATTATTTTTATACCTTTAAATTAATATTTTTTAAACTCATTTATTAGTGATAAAGGTTACATTTTGATTTTATAATTTTGTATGTTATATTTTCCATTTTTGTTATGTACAAACCATTTATTAGTTATTGACCAATAATTTACGTGTATTATCTATTCAATTTGTTTAGTTAAAATTAAAATTTTCTAAATAATTATTTGATTTTACAAAATGAATGAAAACATTGAACTAATTTTATTAAAAATATTTTCAAAATACGACAAATTGTTCATATGTTAATTATAGTTTATTATACAAAAGGACAACACGGTATTCCTTGCTTTGGTGGTAAGGTTATATTCTCATTAGCTAGAGGTCAAGTGTTCAAATCTTTAGTCTCCTAAAATTTCAATGAAGAAAAGTTTTGAAATTTTGTTAAAAAATCAATCGAGCCAAACCTGGTCGATTAACCCGATAATTATATAAACCTGGCTAATTGATCCGATCAAATCCAATTTTTGACCGAGCCACTTGCATTTACATAGTATGAGCTTGCCCGGCCCGGAATAGGGTTTGGGTCACAGATTTAGTAGGCCGACTGGTCGGGCCAAGTCGATTTTAATAACACTGGTTTGAATGGTGGTTCGGTTCCGAGCCTCGGGTCAGGAAAAATGACAAGATTCGAACCTATTTGAGGATACTTTCGAAATGAAAAATCAAGGATTATCGAATGACATTCACGAGGCGTTCAAGGGAAATGGGCTGATAGCCTAGTAAGGAGAATTTGAATTTGGTCCATTTTCTTGAAGCCCATGGACAGCCCAAAAGTTTTAATATTTTCGTATCAAAACGGTTGTATGGTGACTTACCGATTAATTTGCATACATGTGATATGATAAGATATAATTAGGTCATAATTTCTCCAACCAAAAATAAAAATTAAAATTTATCCACCCTCTTCTTGATACCTCATCTATCTATAAAACTTTATATGACTCCTTATGTGTGAGTAAAATTATTCATATCCAAAAATTTCCTCCCAAAAGCTTTATGTAGTGAGTTTTGAATGAATAATTTACATTTTTTTGGATATGAAAATGTGCTTTTGAATAATTTTTATAAAGTTGGCCAATTTGTCCAACTCTCCAAGCTCGTCGAGTTGATCAACTTTACCTTCTAGTTTGATTGGATAATATTTGTAGTGAAGTTGGAATGAACATTCTGATAAAGCTAACTGATTATAAGAGCATCTCCATTGTAATTTAGTTTCCTTCTAAGAAAATTGTGTCATATAAGGAAAAATAGACGGTGTTTAAAAATAATTATCTCCAGTATAAGCTGATAAGGGCTTTGTTATGCTAATTTGGCAGATAAAAAAGTAAACAAGTATTTAAAGCTCTATCTAGATGTAAAAACTATGTTAAACGAAGTGACTCGACAAATTAATATAGAAATCCAAATTAGGATGTAGTTTGACTTTATTTTAAGAAAATAAATGACACTAGATAGAAATTCATAGTATATATTGAAGATTAATTTAGACTTTAATGTTAGATATAGTTGGAAGTATTTCGATTTCTTTATTACCAAGATAGCAATCCATAGATTGAATTGAAAATTATCTAAAGAATGGTCAAAAACGTCATAGTTCCACATGGATCTAAACAAATTCATAGTATATATTTTTTTATTTTTTTGGTATGAAATTATCGAATTTCTAATTTAAACATGTGGAATATAAAATTAAACTTACAAAAAATAAAAGACGTGATAAAGTCTTTATTTTAGGCTTTTTTTCTAACCTAAACATTAAACAACTAATTAAACCTTAAAATTAGTTAAAGCCTTTTGTCGTGTTCTTGTGTCCTTTATCATTTGCCATTTCCCAATTCAATTCACAGTTAAATACCTTTCTTTAACTCGTTTGTCCGTTTTAAAAGTAATTACCTTTCTTTCTTCCTAAGAAAATAAAAGGGAATAAAAGGGTTCTTTCTTTAACTTGTTGCTTTATTAAAGCATAATTAAATTTGCTTTAATCTCCACTTTGTTGCTTTAAATTACACATTTTTTTAAAAATCAATATTTAAAAAATATTTTTAAATAATAAGTCTCTCCAATCGTTACGCGCGCTTTTCTCCGTCAATAAAACGTCTGGCCCAGTCCACACTCATACTACACTGTAAATAAATCAATACAATCACACAAAATAACTCCGTTTCAGTTTAATCTAATCGAAGAATATGGGCCGAGGCGGAGTGCAGGCGGAGGCGGCAGAGGAGCAGTATGTGAAGGCCAAGGTTTCGGTGTGGTGGGACATCGAGAACTGTCACGTGCCGAAGAATTGCGATCCACACGCGATTGCGCAGAATATAAGCTCAGCTCTTGTTAAGATAAACTACTGCGGGTCTCTTTCTATATCAGCGTATGGTGATACCACCAATATATCCCCCGCCGTTCAGCAGGCGCTTAATAGTACCGGCATCGCCCTCAATCACGTCCCTGCAGGTAACTATCTATATATGTCTGTGTATACGTTTAATTTATGTATACATCGATGTTTTTATGTCTTAATGTTTATGATTTTTTTTTTGATGAATTTTGTGGAGAGGAGTTGAGATGGAGCGGGTGGAACGATGATCTCGGGGAGGTTAATTTTAGTTTTTGAGTGGTAATTAGTTGATTCTACCGGTTGAGTTTTAGTCTCAGAAATTTTTAGTTTGGGTTTGTCAATTTTGTTGATCTTCAAGTGTCAAATATTGAATCTTGAAGAGTTTTGTGCGTCAGATTAGCGAATAGAGTGAAATCGGGCTGCTATTTTTTGCTTATGTGGTTACATATGTTAAATTTGAGTTTTTTCTTTGAACATGGAGATCTGCTTTCTCTTTCTCCGTTCACTTGTGATGGTGCATGATCTTTGGTAGTAGGTAGGTTCATGTCTTGGTGCAATCCCGTGTCTTGTGAATGTGCCTCCAAATTTTTTTATTTATGATTGAATATTTTCAGTGAAGACCATTCATGGGTGATACACGTCAGTGCTTTCATCTCAAATTAATAACTTTAATAGATCTTTTCACTGCTATTTTTCTTATGAATTTCTTCACGCGTTCATAAGTTGTTTTAATTAGATTATTGAATTTATCATGGTTAGGTGTAAAAGATGCTAGCGACAAGAAGATTTTGGTGGATATGTTATTTTGGGCAGTCGACAATCCTGCACCTGCTAATTATTTGTTAATTTCTGGAGACCGAGATTTCTCAAATGCTCTCCACCAGTTACGCATGCGTCGATATAACATTCTTCTGGCACAACCTCAAAAAGCGTCCGCACCGCTTCTTGCTGCTGCAAAGAGTGTATGGCTCTGGACAAGTCTATCGGCTGGAGGGCCACCACTTACAAATGATGATTCTGCACAGACTCTAAATAATGGTTACGGTCATTTATCTGGCTCTGACTCATTTCAAGTTCCAGTTATTAATTCTGTTCATTCAAAAGAGCCCGGTGATTCTTCTCATGGTAGTCCCCAATTGGGAAATCAAAAATTCTCGAATAGGGGAAGCGGGAATGATGTAAAACACAAAGGAAAGCAGATTCGTAAAAACACGAGTCCCCACGAAGGATATAATGCACAAAAGAACCCTCGTTGCAGTCAAGAAATTCCGCCACCATCTTTTGGGGTGGAAACTACTAATATGTCTGGTAATGGTCTATGGGGGACATCAGGATGTCCAGAACCTTCTGACTATATTCAATGCCTTACTGGGGTCATTCTACTTGCTCTGAACACCCTTAAGAATGAGAAGATTGTACCCACAGAGGAAAACATTGCTGATTGCATTCGATATGGAGATGCTCGACATCGTAATACTGATGTTAAGAAGGCTCTAACGAGTGCCGTTGAGCAGCAGATGGTTGTACAGCGGAAGGTAGGTTCTTTGCAGTTGTATATTAAAAAGAACGAGAAACTATGGGAATGCGTGGACGCAATGGCTGGCAAAGCAAAGCAGTACCCAAAGGCGACATGGGACAAAATTCAGAAATTTCTGTCATCTGCTGCTGGACGATCTGCAATACTGCGTACTCAGTGCAGGTAAATTACAATCTTGCAGTTCGCATCAAGTTACATTTTGCTTATATGTTATTTTGATAGTCTGTAATCTATTTCCACTTTATGGATAAATTATTTTATAGTTAATCCATCTCATGTTCTTCAATCCTCGTCTGCTCTGTAGGTACGAGGCAGCTACAGTAATGAAAAAGATGTGCTTAAAAGGGCTTGCTTTGGGTGAAGTTCTACAGATTTTGCACATGGTAATAAACAAGAAAAGGTGGATTATATATAATAATCAGTCTGGATGGAAACCAATTAAGGTTAATCTTACAGAGTCCAGCCCTAATTCAGGATTGGCAACTGTAAATAAGCTCCCAAAGAACTAGGTATGGGAGTGGAAACAGGCCTGTAGATAGTTGCCGATTTGCTGCATGCCATTCAAATTGGCTTAAAATTGAGCACTGGTTATAATTGGCATGGCCTGTCCTTCCCTTCAAATAATTGGCAGCAGAGTAAATAGCTCTGTTGCCATTGAGGATGGTGGAGTATTTAGCTTGGGATAATATTTAGTAGTAATTTTGTTTTTGTACTTCTCTTTTTCTTGGAAACCCATGAAGTGCGGCTGGGCAAGAGATTGATTGGGTTAGAAAAACTGCTGAATCTTTAGAGCTTTAAATTGCATGTTATGGCATACATAAATCACCTTTACAGGAAGATGTGCATATGTGTTATCTGGTAAGCTGGCTATATATAATTGAAATTCCTTGGAAATTGCTTTATGTGGCTGTCCGGTGATTGAAATTATTAAAGAGAAGCAATTTGGAGAATTGTAGTTGCTGTGCTTAATTCGTTCTGTGGAGCTTCTATTGAGCATATTGATGGATTAAACTTTTTGGAAAACTATTTTGGGAATATAGTAGTTTTCCTAAATCATGATATGAATATTCAAGCTTGTCAGTTATTATGAAGAAAACCAGGAGGTTCATATTTTGTATATATCAGCAAGAAAAATGTGTTTGATGACTTGGAGCCGGAGTTTTAGGCAATAAGGTGGATGTAGAATATGGTCGAGTTTTCCTTCATCTTCTGACGAAAATGCAACCAATGGTTTACTATTAGAGGATGGATCGATCAAGGTTGAGTTTCTACAGATGATGTATGTGTAAAGACAAACTTATTCGACTGTAATGTTTTAGGGTTTGTGCTAGTTTTTGAACTTTGATCGTTGTTTCAATTATGTAGATAAAATGTTGTAATTGTTTAAATTATGTACACATAGACGTGAGGGGTAATTGTTGTCGAGGATTATGCTAAACAACAATACTATTATGATTTGCCCAATAACATAGATTGCTAACGAAGTGTCAACCTAAGCGAGACTCCCTCCCGCCTTTGCTAACTCCTTTGGAACTATTGAGGATCTAACATCGGTAGTTTTAAGTGCTAGTTTACGTGTCAACATATCATCTATTCTACTAAATGAGTTATAATTCCTTATAGTTAATTGAACATGTTACCATTTAAACTGATGTTAAATATCAGTTGTACTAAATAACTTTAATCTAATTTTAACCTTATCACATACGAAACTATTAAAATATATGTAATGAACATATATTAAGCCTATGTTTGAGCCACATTTTGAGAGAAAAAATACATTTTTGAATAGTGATTTTTGGAGAATGTGTGGTTGAAAATTAAGAAAAAAATTTCAATTTACGTGTAATTAGATAAAACACTTTTAAAAAATTATTCAAATAAATTTAAAAACAGTTTTCCATTTTCAGCGACAACTTTTGATCGATTATTTATAATTTCAAGACAATCTTGCATGTGAAGGTGTTTAGGTCCAATGACAATTATTAAAAGAGACTAAGCAACTTTGTTGTTGCCCAAGGAGGATTGTTCAACGTGTTTGTCGATGGCCTGCTAACATGCAATATTAAACTCAAATATTATATTTGGTTGCATGCTTCTAATCTTTGTTGAAGAAATTTATAAGTTTTAATGCGATCCATTAATTAGTTCTGGTAAAACTAGTGGTGGCAATGGACTGACTCGAGCATGCTCGGTCCATCTACCCATAAGCTCGGCTAGTCACTTTGACGAGCTAAGTGACAAGCCGAACTCAAGCTCGCTTGAGCTTTTAAAGAAAAATAAGTCATTGACTGGCCTAAACTACCTCTTTTTTTATTTTTGGTGCCGCGAAGCAAGGTAAAAAGTTCTCGAACTTTTAAAGGTAGGGACGTGCAGTGTATATATATATATATTACATACATCACATGTAATTACACTTTGAATATATAATTCAATAAATTAATCCTTGAAAAATAGAAAAGATTTAGGCCATATTTGATTGTAACGAATTCTATGAAAAATGTCACATCCAAAAAAAATGAGTTTCACTTTGGTCATTTGATTGCAACGTGAAAATAGAAATTGAATTCTAAGGTACAACAATTTTAAACTGCATTTTCTTTATTTTCATGGAAAACGAATTCTTATGGGTTTGATAGGTTTTTATTTTCCAACTAACATGGAATTTGAATTCATTTCCACATTTACCTATAAAACTTACGGTTTTTATTCATTTGCTTGAGTTAATGTGGTAAAATGTTCTATAATCAGTCATCTTTAACAAAAATAAAAAATAAAAAACTGAAGTGCCAACTATAGAAGGGTACCTTCCATCTTTCTCAATGTCCTCCTTTTATTGTTTTGTTGATGATTAGGCATTTTCTCAGTACCTACCACCGATAACTCCACCCTTCTCTCTATATGTGTATATGTTTATATATTCATATTCATGTTCCTTACTAGAAACCACTGTTAGACAAAATAATAGTGAATGAATACCGGTTTAACAAATATCGGATGGACACATACTGTATTTGCAACATATCGGAATTGCACATACCGAATTTGCAACGCATACCACATACCGAATTTGCAACTAACAGAAATATCATATAAATATATACCGGACACTAGTTAACCGGATGTTAGCCAAACTATTACGAATCAAATAATTTATTAATTACAATACAACAGCACAAGTAATCTAAATTACTTTTAAAAAAATTAATAAAATGAACCGAGACCTATGTGAACACAGTTTCTTTAAAACAGATTTACTCCATCACCGTATGTGTTTGAGGTTTAGTTCGAGCATCCATTTCCCAGAGTACAACTAAAAAATTAGTAGAGCATGAGCACTGCAGATACTATTCCTACGAACTGACTTAGTATCTAAATACTATCACAAAGATCTTAATAGAAACTAAATTATGTATGCAGACTGGAAAAATATGCGGAAAAATAATTTTCTTCGTATGTATGCAATGGATGAAGATGGATGAATAAATAGACTGTAATGAAGAATCAAAAGCCAGGAATCATATTATTAACCACCATTAATCCGACTGTTGAACTTTCCATTAATACAGGCATAATTACATGAATTTCAGGAGTTAAAAAGAATTTAAAGGGTTTTAGGAAAAATAAAATAAATGCAAAACGTGGACCCTCCTAAATGCCAAATTTTTATCAATCCAATCCGATTCGATATTCGTGTACGCAGGTCACGCTCGCATACAAGTTCAAGGTCCAAAACCTATTTCGGTCCGTGATTTGTACTCCCCTATACGCGCGCACGTGGAGAGAGACTCTATACTACACATCATTACGCCCTTATAAAGTGCAATCGTGTTTAAAGTAGTCATGTATTTATCTATTTTCCTTTGTGTGATAAATTTAAACTAGTTTTCCTTCAACACAAAGTATTTTCTAATGCATTACTTTGAGGTCCAATTTTCATTCACTCGAGCATCATTTTTGGTAAATAAATATATGATTTCGATGTTTTCACTGAGGAGAACACAAATCAATCTTGATCTTTCAAAATAACCAAACGGGTCTCACTCAGAATTTATCACAAAGTCAGCCATTATATTCATTTTCCAACAATCCTCCACATGAATGAAAATTGAGAGATATGGGAAGAGATAACATAAAGAGTTGGTGATATAGTTCAACTGTTGAAACCTGCATAAGATAGGTAGGTATTACTCTTTGAACATTCTCTTGTGAAAGTATATTTATTTTACTAGCTAACCAGTAAATACGATGTCCTTGAACTATTCTGCCTTTTATATAAAAGATGATATACTCCACACAGGATTCTTCCTAACACAATTAAGTTCTTATTATTATATTCGTTTTGGCCACGAACATATGTCGATTTTGCGAAAGTTCCTAAGAATTGAGCCCCACACAATTCTCTTAGAAGCCGTCCAACTTCTCTATCACATAGGTGATTTCTTATTCTAAGTAACCCGCATTACTTCGCTCTATTTTCGACGCATAAGAATCAGTAAAAGTTTATTGCTTATCTTTCATCTTTATGGATATCACTGTTGTATCATAGGAATGGACATGAGGTAATACCCCCTCCCCCCGGTGATTTAATTAAGTTTTTACAATTAGGTTGTCCATTTGAACCTAAATCTTGGGATCTTCAATCAACTAGGTTGTATTTTTCTTATATTAACTTTTCAGTTCAAGGGTTTAAGTCTCATTCATTTCGATAATTTTTTAGCTAACTCTCCATTCAACCTTTTGATTAGCGATAATCAAAGGGTTAAATAGAGATAACTCCAATTGAAAGTAATTGTCTTATGGTATTGTGTCTACGACATATATATCTAGACTTACCATTATACATGTTACTCTGTGCCCTTCCAATTGTTGATTGACTATCATAATGTATGTAAATTGCTGGTACAAGTTTCGGCCATCTTGGAATATCCTCTAAGAAGTTGCATAACCACTCAATCTCTTCACCACATTTATTTAGAGTTATAAACTCAGATTCCATGGTAGATCTAGCTATAACGGTTTGTTGAAAGAATTTCCAGGATATGAGTCTTTTACATCAGATATCCAATTTGCATCACTACATCTTTCAATGACTTCTGGATATCTAGTATAGTGCAGTCCAAAATTATGAGTATATTTTAAGTAACTTAGTAATCTTACTCTTCATTTATATTGGTCAGCTTCTAGATTACTTATTTATCTACTCAGTTTACTAACTGTGTATACTATGTCTACTCTCGTACAACTCATCAAGTGCATCAAACTTCCAATAATTCTAAAGTATTCTACTTGAAAAACACTCTTACCTTTATTTTTGATAGATGCTGACTTGTATCTATTGGCGTTCTAGCCATTTCAGTATCATCCTTGCTAAATTTTTCTAAAATTTTATCCACATAATCTGCTAATTTTAATTTCAAGAATGACATCAGCTAAACCCATATCTTTCATATCAAACCTTGAATTTAACATATTTTTAGTGGATTTAATCATCTTATCGTTGCTACTA